GCCACGATTACCGCAAAAATTTGAGATTATTTCATAAACTAATTAAAATTTAATTAAACGAGGATTCGAACCGGCAAAGTTTGTCGAGCCCGACGATATTTTTTAATTGCAAAAATTAATTACGACGCTATGACGGAAGATAGGAAGATAATTACCACTTACATCTGGGCGGGGCCTGGCGGGGACGGGGGAGGCAAGCACCCGTTTTAAAATCCCGGAGACAACCCGCGAGAGCATATGGTTCGAGGCCCCACGTTTTCCCTGTTAACGTCGTCTCCCGACCGATGTATTTAATGGCCGAACGGGTCCGTGCTTTGAATAACAATTATTGCGTTTAAATTGGCGAAGAAAAGGTTCGGCAGAGGAAAAACCTTGCCAGGGATCTCTTTTATCCGAAAGCTACGATCCCAGGTAGAGAGGTTTGCGTTATCGGGAGCCATTTAACCGCAGGAGGGATAGGTAATGTTTCCAGCCGGCAGAATCAGACATCGTGTTGGAAGGACGATGCCAGATTTACGTGCGCATCCCTGAAGAATTCCCAGTAGAGAGAAATCTATGCATCACAGCTTTTTCTTTTATTGTGCGATTATCATATGCTTATATATATTACAGTTTCCGTCTGGTATTATCATAGAAGTCAGCCTACAAAATTATATTACTACCATAAATAAAAGAAAATTCCGAAAAGTGTAGATAGCCAGAAAATACAAAATTAGTAATCATAATCATAATAATATACCCATAAGCATGCAAATGTGAAATTTAAAACAGGAAAAACATGTTTTTATAAGAAAATCAATAAATAAAACTGCTCTTATTTTAAGCTCTCAAAAGGTCAGCTAGGTTTACCAATTTCACATTAAAGCTTTAATTAGAAACTTAAGAGGTACAACAAAATAAATCAAATTTGAAAAACTAAGAAGAAAAGTGTGCACAATAAAGTTGACATGTATTTATATGCATATACATATATGCATATAAATACAATAACATATTAAAAATATCACATAAACGACATTTTTTAATTACTTAGATATTTTTTTTAAATAGGAATACGTAACAAAGAATTTAGTCATGCGTGTCTTGTTTTTTAGTATTTTGTACTTAATATCAAAACGAGTTCCACGAAATGAACGCTCTTCCTACAAGGAATTTTTTGCAATGATTATAAGTGCTTTCCAGTTTTAAGTAATATATGAAAACAACCAGAAAAATGAAATTCTTCTCGTTATTAAACCATTTTAAATCTCTTCTTTTAAGGTATTTTCTTCTGTACATTTTGTAATTTACTTTAAGTGAAAACAGCCACACAAATTTACTTTTATTCAAATGACTTAGAACCTTAGAACCTTCATAGGAAGATTTTCTAACTTAAAGTTCAGAGTGTCTTTACTTTTGTAGATATTGCAGAGCCTTTGTTTGATTGCCAGTAATTCTTGCTGGGAAAGGTTGCTGGTGGGTGGTCGAGCCTTTCGCAGAATGTTCGCTGACTCAATTCGGATTTCTTCCGCTTCCTCATCAGGAAGAGTTCTGATGGCAGCTTCGGTGCTGGCTATAATTTCCTCAATCGGCACATGTCACACACATTTGAATTCAGAGGAAGACATCATTATCCTACCTGCTGACAAGGGTAACGTCACAGTCGTTATAAAAACCGACAACTATAAACGCAAAATTCAAGATATGCTTGATTCGTCAAGCTACCGAAAATTGAGTAGGGACCCAACACAAGCAAAACTCCTGAATATCAACAAACTAATCCTCATAAGAACAGAAGCTATATAACCACGACTCGATGGCTTGCCGAAAATCCATAAGATTGATGTTCCACTAAGACCAATGGTAAGTGCACCTGGATCACCCACGTACAGCCTAGCCAAACACTTCGCATCATTGCTCCAACCCCACGTAGGAAATTCGGAGTCTTATGTCAAGGACTCAACACACTTTATCAGCAAAATTCAGGACATAATTCTCCAGTCAGATGACATCCTTGTCAGTTTTGATGTTGTGTCTTTATTCACAAAGGTCCCAGTGAAAGAATCTTTAGACCTGATCGCAAGAATCTTCCCAGATGACATTGTCAAGCTTTTCCAGGCTTGCCTAACGGGCAGTTACTTCTTATGGCATGGCGACTTCTACATACAGACGGATGGGGTAGCTATGGGAAGTCCACTTAGCCCGGTGTTAGCCAACTACATTATCGAGAAATTCGAGCAGAAAGCGATCAGCTCGTCTGAATACAAACCATCAAAATGGCTCCGATACGTGGATGACACCCTTGTAATTTGGAGTCATGGAAGAGATAGACTTGATCGTTTCCTGGACCACCTAAACGCTCAACATCCAAGAATAAAATTTACCATGGAGACAGAACACAATCAGCTAATAGCGTTTCTGGATGTTCTAATAAAAAGATGTAGTGGGAAACCAAGCCACACAGTGTACCGCAAGGCGACCCACACAGACAGGTACCTACATGCCTTATCCAACCATCACCCAAGCCAAAAAAGAGGAATCATTACAACCTTAACAGAACGTGCCCGGAGGATCTGTGATCCACAACACCTGGAAGCAGAACTAGATCACCTCAAAGAAGCCTTCCAATTAAATGCATACAGGATATCTGATATCGATAAGGCTATGAGGCCCAGAACTGCCTCACGACAGGACCCGGGTGAACAACTAACGGTTGCGAGTGCTTATCTACCTTTTATTCCTCGAGTGACAGACAGGATCGGAAAAATATTAAAAAAGCATAATATTAACACAATATTTAAACCAACAAGGAAAATACAACAAACGCTAAGATCAGCCAAGGACAAGAGAGATCCACTGTCAGCCGCCGGGGTCTACCGCATACTATGCACGTGTGGAAAGGTGTACGTTGGAACGACAAAAAGATCTGTCGCAACCAGGATAAAGAAACATCAGAGAAACTGCAGAATGGGACAAACGGACAAATCGGCAGTAGCGGAACACGCGCTCAGTGAAAGGGATCACAACATTCTTTTTGGGGAAGCCAGGCTTCTTGCGCCCACTTCGGCCTATCATGCCCGCCTCGTACGAGAAGCAATAGAAATCCATAAACATACAAATAATTTCAGTAGAAAAGAAGAGATACTGCAGCTCAAACAAATTTGGAACCGCATCTTAAGGAACACAAGGACAGCCCCAGTAGTCACAGCCACTCAATCCCAATCATAAATACAACTTACGGCCGGGAACGCGTCTGCATCCAACATTGGAGATGGAAGCACCTCAGAAGAAGCTAGCCGCTCGTGCTAGCGAAACGTCAGGAAGAAATTCCACTTAACGACTTACAGTTCAAACGCTGGCCACTTAATCACTAGCTTGAATATTAATGCCATTTTGTATTAACATACAAAAAATCTTAAATTATCTGCAGAGGTGCTAAGTATTTCCGGGTTTTTGAGCCGTGGTCAAGAGCGGCGATGCGGTAACGGTCGAAGTGATCTTCCGTACTGCTCTCCGATGACTGATTTGCCTAACATCTTTGATATCTGCAGAGGTTTTGTACTCAATGTCTAATGCCCTTTTTGACATGTTTTATGTTCGAGGACACGATTCGGCGAGGTAAAGGAGACGATATGAAATATCAAAAGGTCAATCAAAGATGCCAATCTAATTCTGCTGGTAGTTAAATGTAGTAAGTTTAGTAACTTTTAGTTTTCATATGGCTTCAAGTCATTATCATCATCTGACGCTTTCTATTATTAAAATGATTTCGCCAGTTTATCATTAACGTCTTTTTGCTGTGCCTCGTGTTAAAACTAAAATCCAAAATTAACCCGTCAAATTGCAGCCATCTTTAGGGGCTAAGTGTAGCAAAAGTTCATAAAAATCGTGGCCAAACCATTGCGAGGAACGCAGTCTTAAATTCTCGCATTACACCCAACCGTTTTTCATGAGATGTAAGACCATTTGGCGTAACCAAAGTTTTAATTAGCGCTAGAGTGGTATATGAATTTTTTATTTTATATTTCATGCAGAATTCTGACTTGCCGGCACTGCTCATTGTGAAAATTTGGGAAACTCATATAGTGCCATTTAATATAAATTAGGAATAATTTAATGGCACGTGGTTCCTATTCCCCCTAAGTAATACCAAACGTGCTGCGATATATCGCGGTTGTTATTTTTATCGCCCTTATAAATAAATACCTATTTAGGTTGTAAGGCCGCGCCGTTTCAGCGGTATTCAGTGACCTAGAGCTATTAAAAGGTAATATAACTCAAAATTTATTCACAAGCTGCAGATGCGTGAAATTACAAGTCTCGCGGAACACAAAAGGTGAGCGGCGTTATAAAATTATTAGAATTCGGTACTTTTAAGTCGAAATATTAGGCAAACAGGCTGCAGAGCTACGAAACGGCTCTCATGCGCTTGCGCATAAAGATTACGCCCGCAATTCTTTGGTTTTAAATAATTCTAGAGCTATTTTACATATAAGTTTCATTGTATATCGATTTCGCAATGCGCAATCATCAGTTATTGACCACTTGACTTATTTATTCTCGAATACTAAAGGTGGCTTCCCACCGGGCAGCGCCTAGATCGGAACGGGTTTCAGGCGGAACTCTTCCCACGGCGCGGCGTGTTTCTGCCCAAGTACCTTTTTAAAACAAATTAGCTGTCTACATATTTTGTGTTTACTGGTGTTCGGGGTTGGTGATTGCTAACAACTTGCTTTTGCTGATTATCAGTAATGTCGGAAGAAGAAAAAGTGTTGCCGCAGCCGCTGTCATATAAAATCGTAATGCCACCAATACTGTCTTTTAATTTATCTTGAATACGACTCCGCGAATCGTGCTGCTCGTTTTATGACGGTCACTTTTTGTATTCCATAACGCGGATTCATTTTCATATAAATTAATAAATGTGTAAGTAATTTCGTTCGTCCACTCCATATTAACGCTTAAAAAACACCAAAACAACTTGTTGTAGAGCCGCAAAAACAATGAAGGTAGCTGTCTACCCCAATAACAACAGGTCTGCACGGGCATGAACGCGCCGCGCCGGTTCGCGCCTTTGAATTTACCGACTCGCTGCGGATCCGTCGCACCTCCTCGCGCCACCTCAAGCGCGCGTTGGTGTGAGCTGGCGCGTTCGGGTCGTGGGAAGCCACCTTAAGAAAACAAAGTCCTATCGCGCACTCAAACAAGTTGAATTAGGTGCCGAATATCTTTGCCCAACATAAAACACGTTCGAATTGAATGCCTTTTGTACAAAAATCGGTTAGTAATGAGAAGTCGCAGGAGAAGTATGCGAAATTTTGCTGTGTGCGAAAGTTTTGGTTAGTTTTGGTTTGTGACCCTAGGATAGAAAACTCTAAATGTTTGCGTTCCTAATTATACAAATATTATTAATTTTTTCGAGAAAGTTTTATATCAATTACCAAACTCTTAAGAGTTTCACGCTATTAAATTTTAAACTCATAACATCTAGCAAAGGAAACAGAACTCTAAAAAAACATATTTGAAAAACTGAGAAGAAAAGCAAATTCTGATAAGGGAAATGTGAACATTTGATAAATATAGGTAAATAATATAAACGTCTTACTGTTTTTGATAATGTTTCTTTGTAAGCATTGCTTATTTATTTGTTACTCGTAAAACTAGTTTAAATTACAGCAATGTCAATTTGACGTTTGGTCCTTATAATATTTTATACTTTTTTTGTAAAACAGTCGCAAATAATAGAATGAAAGAGAAATAATAATAATAATAACATGTCTTTATTCATGTTGACAGAATATTTACAAAAACTTATAAAGTAGGTGGCGGTATTCAACAGAGTTGTTCATACAGCCACCAGATTAACCAAATAACATATAAAATATCCAAAACACAGACTAAGAGAATAACAAGATAACCAAAGTATATCATTATAACGAGAGTAATGTACGATTGTCACAGATTACTATAGTATAAGATTACTCATGTTTAATAGAACGGTAGAAAGTAAATAAATAACCTTTCATTGAAAATTGAGATCGTGGGGGCACATCTGACACTGGAAGGTAATTTATTAAAACATTTTGAGGCCTGGTACGTAAAAGAACATTGAAATAAGGTTGTACAATGCTTAGGTACCCTAAGGAGTTCACGACTACGAGTTAGTCTATTATGGGTATGGACACCTCTAACCAACTTTTCATATAAATAGATAGGTTCGCGATGGAGTAGAATTTTATATAAAAAACGGCAATTTCAAACCTTGCATAGTAAACCATCCCTAGTTAATGAAACTTTGACTGATATGATCGAATATTCGCAAACCATATGCAAACCTCAAACAAGCATTCTGCAATTTTTGGAGCGAATCTCTTTCCCTCTGAAATAAGGCCGGCCAAGAAACTGAAATACAATAATTAATATGTGACAAAACCAGAGTATCACAGAGTCTCATTCTTATGCTTGTATCAAAGACGTACTTGTGCAAATATAAGAGCTTAAGTTTGTAAAAACATTTCTGAATTACGTCAGAGACATGATCCAGAAAGCGCAAATCACAATCAATCGTTAAACCTAGATTTTTGCACTTATTAACCGGACTAATAATAGTTCCGTTTAGGTTTACTATAAAATCATTATTACTAACAATCTCCTCCCGACGCCGTCCAAATACCATCAGTTGTTTTTTTGATTCGTTAAGTTTCAATCCATGGGCGGCGGAGACTCGACTGACGATTTCAAGATCTTCATTGAGCCTTGCAGCGACTTGATCATTCGATTGGAAAGAATGATAAAGCTGAGTATCGTCCGCATATTGATGTGTCTTGCAGTGTTTGAGAAAACTAGGAAAGTCGGACGTGTATAAAGAAAAGAGTATTGGTCCCAAGATACTCCCTCGGGCTACGCCCTCTGATACAACACAAAACTTGGACGCTTCGCCAGCCAATACGACACTATGAACGCGATTTGCAAAGCAGTTTTAAAAAAAAATTAAAGTTACATCACCCAGACCAAAATATCTAAGCTTAGCAATTAAAACTTTATGAACAACGGTGTCGAAAGCCTTGCTATAGTCCAGTAGAATTAAACAAGTGTTTTCGAAGTTGTCGTGAGCTCTAAACAAATCATCCACAATTGTCAGCAGAGCGGAGGCAGTACTGTGGTTAGGACGAAAGCCTGACTGAGTGCAGGGTAGAAGCCCTCTGTTCCTCGAAAAGGACACCAACTGCCTACAGACTATAGACTCCAATACTTTCCACATTGTAGGCAGTATAGTAATAGGACGAAAGTGTGATATGTGGCTAGGAGAAGTGCGCTTGGGAACGGGCACCACACGCCCTACTTTCCAGGCTGTCGGAAAGTTACCGGTAAAGATACATTTGTTCATAATATATGTAATGTGAGGGCTCAAATATGGAATTAGATAGAGAAGCATTTTCAAATTCACACCATCAGCGCTAACAGCATTGCTCCTAAAACCCAAGATAATTTTCTCTACTTCCTCTGAGGTAACCGGTTCAAAATCTAAACGCACACCATGATCACCCAAAAATTTATTAGCATAAGTGTGTTCAATAAGCGGATCATAGCGATTACCATTAGGTTGGCTAGCATTGAAAAAGAGACTACAAAAATCTTGAGCGTTTCCAAAATCACCAGCCCCCGATTGGGGCTTTTTCGCAGTGCTAATATTAAGATATTTTAGAGTTTTCCAAAAATTCTTTTGATCATTCTGAAAAGAATATTTCAAGTAGGCTTTCTTTTCATTTTTAACTGCCATATTTACCCAGTTTCTCAACGTTTCGGAGTTGCTCTTTTTATACCTTGACAGGGCCTTGTTTCTCAGTCTCATCATCATCTTTAAATTGTCGGTGAGCCATGGTGCCGGAGCATTAGTAATTTTGGAAGTTTCTAAAGGAGCATGTTTTTCGAACAGCTTGAGAACTTTATCATTAAAGAAATCAACCATAAGATCGGTATCATCAAACAAATAAATACAGTCCCAATCAATAAGATGCAAGTCAGCTAAAAAGGTGTTATAATCGAAATGAGAGAAATCCCTAAAAGTTCAGGCACCGGAGTCATATCCAAAACTCCTGGATTACAGACCACGTCAGGTGAGGAGGATATAATTAAGTCAATCAAGGTGCGAGAGGTCTGTGTCACTCTGGTAGCCAGGTTAATATGCTGTGAGAGATTGTATTTGCTTAACAATGCTTCAAATAAATTAAAAGCCGGGTTGTCACAGTTCAAGAAATCGACGTTAAAGTCACCTCCAAAAATTGCGTAGTCAAATTGAGGTAGTACATGTGTACTTGGCAAAGGCGAAAATAACGGAAGACTTAACAACAAAAAGCAGTAAAATTCGACACCCCTGCAAGGAACGCAAAGAAAGATTCACAGGTGCACGTAAACCGGAGAACGATGTAAGTCTATGTAAAGTAGGCGTCCCAGTCGATGAAACCGTGCGCAGGTCTCCATCGGGCCGCACAGATGTAAAGTCTCGTTTGCCTACCTATAAATCCTCCAAGGAATTAATGACCAACTTTTTAATAATTTTATGAAAAAAAATATAAGCAGTTAAAAATATGCATTTAAAAAGTTCCATAATAAAAGCACCTAGACTTTTTCATTTAAATAGTTTTTAACTTGTAAGTAACTGGGTGAGTTCTCAATTGTTTTTACAAGCATATTGTACTGAGAAACCTACTTACCTTGCACTATTTTATTATTCCAAAATATCAGCATCTGGCGTAGTAACTATACTTTTGCCAAATTACATTACATCATTATCTTAGTATGAAAAGCTGTAGGTCCGATCTTACGCTTAATTAATTATTTTAATAAATGTTTCCTTAATCATATTTAATAGTTTATTTAAGTTAATAGGATGTAATTTCAATTCAATTGCAATTCTTGTCTCTGAGATTTTGACCACGTTTTTTTTTCACTGTAATCTATCGGGTGTCTTCTTTAAGGGATCTCGAAAACGATAAGAGTTACAAAGTCGGTTAAATTAGAAAAAAATTGCCTATTATGATGCCCACAGAGTTGACAAATTCTTATTTTAACTTAATTAAATGTTAATTTGAAAAGCATTTACCAAAACAAGTCAGATTTTGGAGTTTGCTTTGGCGAGTTTCACATTTAACGTTAATTATATCTGCGGTTATAGGTATATGCGGGTCTGATTAACATCACCAACAATGCGCTATTATCCCAAAGTCCATAATTCCGCAAAACTTGCGGACGCGATCGATCGATAGTCCGTCGAACGTTTTATGTTACCCTCCGATGGTATATCCCCGACGCCGACGCCGCCGGCTTGATGGTTTTCCATTTTTTTATCGTCTCACACGTCATGTCTTCATCGGCATTTGCATGCATTCGACGGCTTTGTCCGGACATTGGCAAAGCAACACCACCAAACTAAATAGACGTTTCGTTGTTAACGACGTTCGGAGATATTTCCACTAGCCAATGTAATTTCCTCAATTTAAAAAGCCGTCGGATACCGATTTGATATATTTATGCCCACGGCAATAATGTTTTTCATGTCACATTCCTCATTTCATAATAGGATAATGAACCAATATTGTCTATGGAAGTGTAAGAGATAGATTTAAATTTCCTGCACACTGATTGTGCAGTGCGAATGGTAAACTCACTGCCACCATTTATCAAATGTTTAAATAATCACTGGACCTAGGTTGAAACCTTAAAAGATATCAAAATTAATACCAGAAATAGTGATTTCCAACCGCATTTTATCAAATATCTTGTGCATCTTGTGCGATATAAGAAACCCGTAAATACAAAGAAAGGAAGTGTTTTTCACTGGTTTTCAGGTATTCAGAAATTTATAGTCCTTTATCGATGTTAAAGAAAGTGCTTTTCGAAAAAGGTATAGTCCTAAATCTCTCACGTTTCTTGGTTCAATGATTTCGATTCGTGAAAAAAAGCTTCAATGATTTGAACGCATCCCCTCCTCGCCGCTGCCTTTGTGATGGTTTGTCCTAGAGTGTATATTATCGTCCCGTTTCCTAACTTATTTTTTCTACTCCCGTCTGTAAAGTGCCTAATTACACACCGATCTAGCGTGCGGGAAGCGTCAGTTTACCACATCATTTTCGTTCCCCAATGATCTGAATAACTTCGGACATTTCCGGGATATTACCGCACGGCTTTGGGAGCAATCGAATGTTTTCGGAGATTTTAACGCACTGTTTGAATTTTGACGTAGGACCATGTTTAGGTCATTCAATGCTAGATCTGTTGATTTCCCGAGTCGGCTCCATTATTGACGCTGACTTAATGTCTGTGTTGTCCCTGCGGTTGCTATCCATTAGCCTTCCAAGGTCTTCAGCATATGAAAACCTAAATGAACGCTTGGGATACGGATAAAATCCTTCCTGCTGTCATAAATTGTTTATGGTATGTGTATTATCGTTTGCCTAACCTTTTGACCACATCTTTTGATGTCGCATTGGTCAAGCGTCAAAAATATGCTATTTGAAGTCGAATTTCACGACCGTATACAGTTAGTCATATTGATTTTTGATTGGCTTTTTAAAAAAAGATCAGGCTCTATCCGTGCCAGTCCGAATGGAGTTTCGATCAATTGCACCATGTCGTTATTTCATCTGCAGCGGAGAACTTTGGATTCATTAATATTCCTTGCGTCCCGGACAGAAAACCCTGCCGCGGACAATACGTTTTCCCCGGGCGGTTTTTCCCCCGACTTTTCGGGAAAGTTTTAAACTTAGATTAATTATACGGAATGCCGCAAAAAGCTCGTGTGTTCGACCGAACCAAACTACAGCGGTTTTCGACCCGACTAATTATTTGTTTTCCCGTTGACAGCGAAGAGGGATACAAAATGACCCCTTTTACAGGCCAATTCCGCGCTTCAATTTATGCGCGCTGTCTATTCACCTTGAAGATTAAAACAGCTTTCGATTTTTTCCGTAATCTTTCGAATAACGAAAACTTACGCGCATCTCTGTGGGTGAACTTTGCCGAACTTGAGCAAATTTTTATTTAAAATGAGACAGAGAGTAATTGGGAATATTATCTTTGTCACACTGTTGTCTTTTTGGGTAACAGGTGCTTGTGAAATCAAGAGAAACACCCTTATCCTCTTCAATACCAATTTAATGTAAAATTCTTTTTTTTTTTAATATAAAAAGGAGTCTGTATATCAGTACATGTTTCGAGCAATCAAGTGTTGATCTTCAGGTAAGGCATCCCACCCATAACAGAAACCATAAACTAATATGAAGAAACGTATATAAAAGTTAACTCTGTTTTGAACTGGGTTTAAAAGTTAAAATTTGGATAAAATTTATTAACTTTTAATTTTACTAGGGTAGGCTTTTCTTCGGTTTTGTTTAGTGGGTTAAAATGCCAACAACAGAAGAAATACCGAGGTCTTATGTAATCTGTAATAACCAGGTTATGACGTGACTATTAGGAGGAAAAGTTTGTTTTTTTCCTTTATCCTTCGGTACACTAATTTTTTGTTATATATTCTGACTAGTACGTTATCGCCTCTATTATTCTATTATTATTATGTCTTCATTATCCAAAACGCGAGAAGATCAAGAATTTAATCATAAAAAATTGTAATATCTAGGATAGTAGGCACGCTTTTATACTTAACCTTTTTTTATACAAAGAAAACAGAAACTAACAAACACACTAATCTAAACAATTATGAAACATTGGCTATCCTTATACAAGCCACATCATAACAATAAAAAAAAACGCTCTCACTATCAAAAATAAATATTTTTAACCTTTTTTTGTAATTAAGTAAGGATAAATCGTTTAAAAAATCTACTGGAGATTTGTTGATCAATTTAAGAGCTCTAGGTGAAAAATATCTTTGACATAATGCTGTGTTATGTGGGGGTAAAAGTAGCAAGTGTTTTTTTCTTGTATTAATACTATTTAGCTTCAGCCTAGAGTGGCTGCTTTCTTCAGATAATTTTTATGTAATATTTTTAAATACCAGTGCGGATCGGTTTTCGAAATATTTATTCTTTTCCAATCGCTTCTTTCCTCTCTTCTTCATTTCCTTTCCTTACAGTTTACGAAAGACGCATATATTGGACTTATCCTTATACATATATTCCACAGTAGAAAGGCTTGATTTTAAGTTTTATTTAACTAGAAATAATTAGTCAAACAGTGCTTCTCTAGTCCCTAGTCCATTCCTAAAACCGAACTGCGTATCCTCAATATCTATTTCTAACTTTTTATATGTTCTGCGATGGATGATTTTCAGAAGTACCTTAAGTATGTGACACATTAAGCTGATGGTACGATGGTCCGAGCACTGTCTTGCGTTGGTCTTTTTGGGGATAGTTATAAATGTTGATTGTAGCCACTCTTTCGGTAAAATTCCAGTTTTGTATACACTGTTGAAGAGATGTGTTAGAAGATGTATGTTATGATTGTCAATGAGTTTAAGAACTTCTGCTGGTATTTCATCCAGTCCCGTAGCTTTCCCGGTTTTCATTTCCTTGATGATGTGTTCTACTTCGTCCTTCGTTATTTCTGGTCCAATATCATCACATACATACTCACTACTTTCTTCATCTCGCTGATCTTCGTACAGTTGTTCTACATAGTTTTTCCATACTTTCAATTTTTCTTTTGTGTCCATAATAATATCTCCATTTTCATCCACCAGCAAGTTGTTATTGTAATTGCGTTTGTTGGTTAACTCTTTAATTCTCTTGTGCGCATTGAAACCATCATGTTTACTTTGTAATTTCTCGATTTCCTCACACTTTTCCCTGTGCCAGTTTTCTTTGGCTTCCCTAATTTTACTTCTGATCTTGCTTTGTAGATATCGGTATTTTTGTAGATCTTTGTTTTTGTATGTTCTTCTCTCGTCCATGAGACCTAATATTTCAGTTGTCATCCATTCCTTTCTTACCTCTGTTTTCTTACTAAGTTGTTCCTTGCATGTTTTTAGTATTTCTGTTTTAAACTGGAGCCAGTTGTTGTTAATATGTTCTTCATTATTATTTTCTATGCATTGCAAGGTTTGCAATGCCCCATTTATCTTATTTTTCACTCTTTCCCTTGTTTCTGGATTACGCAATTGATTAGTGTCAATTGTATCTTTCTTTGTTCTATGGTCAATTCTTTTTAATTTTATCCTTACTTTTGCAATTAGTGGGTTATGGTTAGAGGGTATATCTGCACCCGGATATGTTTTAACTGACATTATACCATTCCTGTATCTTTCATTGATCATTAAATAATCTATCTGGTTTCTAACTATTTTCTCTTTGCTATCTTGTGGTGATATCCATGTATATAAACGTCTATTAGGTAATTGAAAGCATGTGTTTGTGATAACCATATTTTTCTCTTGGCAGAATTGTACTAACCTTTCACCTCTGTCGTTCCTTTCCCCCAGACCGAAGTTTCCCATTAGATTATTTGTCTTTCCTTTACCAACTTTAGCATTTAGGTCACCCATTATTATTGTTACATCTTTTGCTTTGACTTGTTTCAGTATTTCGTTTATTTGTTCATAAAACATTTCTACTTCCTGATCATCTTTGTCTGCTGTTGGCGCATATACTTGGATTACGTTCATCCTTCCTATGTTCATCCTAAATTGTAGTAACATTACACGTTCTGACAGTGGTACGAAGTTCAGAACATATCGGGAAACATTTTTGTTGATTATTATGCCTACTCCATGTCGGTGCTGAGGGTCGGAGCTACCTGAGTAATATATTAGATGTTGATCTTTTAACTGACATTTTCCACTTCCCGGCCAACGCGTTTCGCTTACACCTAGGATATTGATGTTCATTCTTTGCATTTCCTGGACAATATTATGTGCTTTTCCGGGTTCATACATGCTAGTGACATTCCATGTTCCAATCTTATATGTTTGTTTACTAGTCATTTGACAGGGTTTTCGCATGTTGACGACCTGAGAGGCCCTGTTTCCCCTCCTGCCGGATCTTGACTTCCGAATATCATGATCAGTAAGGTCTTTGGTCTGGTTTATTGCCATGATGATTTTACTAGAGATATCCTATAGGATCTTTACTGTAGTGGTTTCTCCTTTCCTTCTACATCCCAACGCCGTTGACCATCTTAGTGGTTCTTCCGCCTTCGGGGCCAATTTCTCAACCCCAGGACAATGAGTTGCCCTTCCAGTTGCTGGTTCCTCCACCCGAAACTGTTCACCAGCAACTGGGGGACTACTTATACCGGTAGTCACTCGGTCGCCATATCCTCGTCAGTTGAAACAGGGTGCGCCGTACAACTTATGTTGTAACTCGTGAAGGTGAGGTTGGCATTTGTATGCGGGAGGCTATATATTCGCACCACATACCTTACACCCCACCGTATTAGTCAAACCGTATTAACGCAGCGGTGCTTAGATGTAAATCAGGATGTGTACGTTTGTTTTCTGGACTACAATAAGGCATTTGACACCGTCCAACATAAAACACTCATAAGACTGCTTAAAAGTAAAAACATTGACTCTAGAGACATAAGAATAATAAATAATTTGTATTACCAACAAGAGGCCGTGATAAGGGTACACAATGAGGTGACAGACAGAATAAAAATAAAAAGAGGTGTTAGACAGGGATGTGTCTTATCACCATCTCTGTTCAACCTATACTCCGAAGAAATATTTAAGAGAGCACTCCAAGATGAAACAGCTGGAGTAAAGATTAATGGCTTACCCGTTTGTAATATTAGATATGCCGATGACACCGCGCTAATAGCAGAAAATATGGATGATCTACAGAGAATTACGAACAAAATTGTAGAAGTAAGCGAAGAGTTTGGGCTATCACTCAATACAAAGAAAACTAAATTTATGATAATTACAAAAAAATCTATTATCAATACAAACCTTTATATAAAGAATGAACAGATAGAACAAGTAAGGAATTATAATTATCTGGGGACGAACATTAACGAGACAAATGACTATTCCAAAGAAATCAGAATAAGAATAGAAAAGTCCAGAAGTGCTTTTAATAATATGAGGAAATTGTTGTGCAGCAGGGATTTGAGCTTAAGTTTGAGAGTGAGGATGCTTAAATGCTATGTTTTCTCGGTCCTCTTGTATGGCGTGGAGGCCTGGACTTTGAATAAACAATGCCTGAATAAACTAGAAGCTTTTGAGATGTGGACGTACCGAAGAATTTTTAGGATATCCTGGACGGACAGAATGACAAACGAACAAGTACTTGTAAGGATGGACAAGCAACGTGAAATAATAGATACGGTCAAAATAAGAAAATTGCAGTATCTGGGGCATATTACACGCGGAGAAAAATATAAATTGCTACAACTGATTATGCAAGGTAAAATCCAAGGTAAACGGAGTATCGGAAGGAGAAGGATGTCATGGTTGCGTAATCTGAGAGAATGGTTTGGATGTAATTCCAACCAATTGTTTCGTGCTGCAGTCTCAAGGATACAAATTGCATTGATGATTGCCAACCTTCGCAGCGGAGATGGCACGTGAAGAAGAAGAATTAGTCAAACGATGTTTTCATGAATCGTTTTATTATATATGTTTTCACGTAGCGATTCAATTTTTAAATTGTTTTTCCATGTGGCAATAAAAATTCTTAATTTGATTTTATTTATTTGTGGGTATTATTAAAAGGTAAACCAGCATTTCGGTATTATTTATTTATTGATTTAATGTCACAAAAATTAAAGAAAAAACAATTTGAATTTTATAATAACAATGATAGAATAATACAATTTCGGACAAATATCTTTTTTAAAACGTTAGCTAGACTTTTTTTGGAAAGTTTTTTAATAAGTTAGATTATTAGAAGTTTCATTTTAATAATTTCTGTAAGAATATATCGGTAAACAAAGCAATCAGACAACGAGAACATAAAGAGAAGATAAAGATAACCATCGTCATTAATAACCGTCTTTTTCTATTGTTAACATTTATCCCACTTTTCTATCACACCGTTGCAATTCTAGTTTCGATCGAGTTCATTAGGTTCTGTTCGCCTCAGTAGATCATCAGGAGTTCCATTTTTTCTTTAGTCTTCCGAGCGGTGTCAAATTTACGTGCTGTTTGCCTCCTTTGCGGTATTCCTATGTACGAGGTTAGCGCCAAAATTTCCCGGCCTGACATAGAATCAGCTCCAGTATCATGAAAAAACTTTGTCTTCTTTTAAATAGACATCTTAGTAGGCTGCGAAAAAAAAATTGAAGTCTTGCGTCAAATAGTTTTTCATCGACAGCATTTTAAACAAGACATGTCCAAAAAAATGTCGCAAATAACACAAATTGAGTATAGAGCAGTCATAAAGTTTTTGACAAAAGAAGGATTAGCACCTAAAATTATTAAAGAAAGGCTGGATGGTGTGTACTTCCAAAGATCTCCTTCGTATTCTGTAGTGAAAGAATGGGCAAAACGTTTTCGAAGGGGGCAGGAGTCCCTTGAAGATGATTCAAGAACCAGTCAACCAGTGGAGGTCATAACGGAAGATATTGTTGCGATTGTGGAAAAGGTGCTATTGAGTGATCGAAGTTTAAAGGTCAAGGAAATCTCATATTTATTATTTATTTTATTAATTATTAATTTATTATTTTATTAATTATTAAGGTTTCTGATACAAGTGCTGCAATCCTGCATGATCATTTAGGTATGCATAAGGTCAGTGCAAGATGGGTTCCTAAAAACCTTTCGGGAGATGAAACTATGGTTCTCTATTATGAGCCTCTATGAAAAAAGAATCAATGGAGTGGCGTCTTCGGGATGAAGCGCCTCCAAGAAAATTCAGAGTCTGCCAGTCAACAAAAAAGGTGATGGCCACGATATTTTGGGATTGTTAAGGAATTCTTTTGATAGATTTTAAAGAAACTAGTACCACTGTCAATGGTAAATATTACGCAACATTATTACATAAATTGCGAGACTGCATACGTGTAAAATGTCGAGGAAAACTGACCAGAGGCGTGCGTCTTTTGCACGATAATACACCTGTCCATACTGCTGGTGTTGCACAAGCTGGCATTTTAGGGTGTGGGTTCCAACAGATAGATCATCCTCCCTATAGTCCAGATATGGCCCCCAGCGACTATTATTTGTTTGGATATTTGAAAAGGGACTTACGTGGACGGCGGTTTAACGACGAAATTGAGTTAAAAGAGGCTGTTTTAGCTCATTTTGCAGACAAACCAAAATAATATTTTTTTAAAGGGATCGAGTTGTTAATAAAGAGATGTAATAAGTGTATTTAAGTTAAGAGGGATTATATTGAAAAATAATAAAAATTGTTACTCTATTTTGTTTCTTTCATATTCAGGCCGGGAAGTTTTGGCGCTGCCCTCGTATTAATTTCTTTGGTGAAATTGCTACGGAACTGCAACCGCGTATACATTTCGCTAAATATCTCGGAAGAATGCGGTGGATAATTTTCAATGCTGTCCGAAGTAGACCAAACAATGGAAATTCGTATGCAAAGGTAGCAATTATTTCCAGGCGCGACGGATGTACGGTAGTCTCGAGGGACGCGGAAATTTCTAGATAATTAGGCCGAGAACACATTATTATTTAGCGTTGTTTTCATTTGTCTGGGAGTCACATAATACGATTTTCACAAATGCAAATAAAAAAGCTCAAAGCCGGTACGGTTTTTAATTACAGCTTACTGTATTTTTTCCTTTATCAAGCGTTCACGATTCTCTGCATTTTTATGCTCGCAGGATTTCGCGAGACACAGAAGAGGATTTTTGTTGCAAATATGCTATCAATTAACTCGGGAGTTTTGCTGGTCGAATACTGGCGATTTTTCAAATTTAACCAGATTTAAGTGACAGCGAGACACAGCAAACTTTTCCCCAGAATTAATTAAAATTCAACTCGGAATGGTAAACAAAACCACTTTGCAGAAGTTCGCTGCATTCGGAACGCGTGCGCTATAGGAAATATCATATTAAGCGCATTAAATTTCGAACTCATTCGGAACGTATTCAAAGGTTCTCAAATCGGTGCAGGGATTTTTTGTCGGAAACGAATTATAACCTTCAAATTTATTGCTTATGGATTTGATTGGTTGAGGTGTAAGGGGATTCCAAAGTATGCAAAATATATTGAATTGTAGACGCTTAAAATTTCGACAAACTGGAAATAGTACATGTCAGCGTTGCATACTATACTTTCTCTACGAAAACATACCATCCGCGGTTAAAATCAGATTTGGTTAGTTTTGATTTGTTTCTGATATTCAGTTTATAGAGAACAGAGAAGAGAGGAGAGAGCATATACATATTTATACTATTTAAAAATACTTACATAGAAAAGATGGCAACAATGGACTGAAGTAAACAATTACCGCCCGCCTTTTCCAAAATCATCGCTCTCAAACCCGTAACTGAAGAACACGAAAAGCCCGGAATGGTAGGTATGGGGTATTTTAAAGTAGGTTATATTGAAAAGGCAAAGCTACTAATCGGGCAAAACTTACTTTCCTGTTCACCAGGCATGCTAATTAATCCATAATTAATTGACATTGCTAAAATCCTTCTCTTAATTCAGTTTATCTCGTAATCCGGTTTAGGATCGGCTCCGCCAAAATACCTATG